CCAAAAGAGTTAAGGAATATGAAAATCTTTAACTAAAAGGCAAAATCCTCTAAGTTTAAAGGATGATGCTGTTTTATTATTGAGTTTCCCCTAGTACAGGGGCTCTTTTCCAATATGCAATATGGTGCTTGGTATGAAAAGATGCTCAACAAATATTTGTTATATACTGTATATGTTGATCTATGAAGACCAACTGTTACCAGGCAGTCCTAATAACAATAGGGTGTTTGTTTGTTTGTTTTCCTAATCACATGCCCTGGTACCATTACCTGTGTCTGCCATTAGAATTTCCCTCCAAATTCCTAGCAACTGACAAGGTCATGTGGCAGGGAATTCAAAACACAGCCAGGTATCACTAAAATATAAATCTATATTTAGACCAAGATCAGCTTCTGGTCTAGCAGAATCAATCAAATAATGGCTGAGAAGAGGGTTGGTCTCCCCGAAGAACAAAAGAAAAGCTTAGTCAAGCCTCTAGTAACTCAAAAAGCTAAGCCGAAGGGGGGATTTGTTGAGAAGTCCAAGGATGGCTCTACCTTCAAGCCTGGCTAGTTTTATAAGCCTACATCAGTTCATTTCAAGTCATCCCCTCATTTGCCCTTTCTCTCTCACTCCAAGACCTGCCTCTGTTCACTTCTACTTCTTTTGGAGCAGTTGCCTGACTTTCTCCTAAAGATAAGCTTCCTCCATGAAACTGGAAAGCCAGCCACCAAGACTCCCAAGCCGACCTCCTTATAGCAGATGATCTAAAGGCAAGCAACCTGCTTTCTTCTGGGGTCCGTATAGCAAATCACAGGGAAGGACTGAATGATTTTATACAAACAGTGTGGAATTGGGGTGACTGCCCAGACCTGGATGGTGTGTCATCCCTGTGGTTAGGAGGCTCTGAGATTGACAGTTCCACCTGAATGACATAAGGAGGGACAGTTCCCAGAGGAAAGGGGGTGCAGGGCAGACAAAAACAACAGGTGTCCATGACAATAGCACTTGTTCTCAGGTTGCGTAGAGACATGACTTATCCACCAAAACAATCAGAGAAGGATAAAAACAGTAGGGTATTCACATGCCACAGGGTTGAGTCAAAGCCTTTCAGGAAAAGGAAGTGATCTGATGGCATAAAAGAGATTCTTGGGAACAGAAGGAGAAAGACGCAAATATTTTGGTCAGCCTCCCTCCTTACAGTTGAGAATTATCATTGTAACCACCCTATCTCCAAATTAAGTTCAGAAACTGTGATCTGGTAACTTTGCAGGCAATTAGCCAGAATGTCTGAAATTGGGACACTGGGAAAATCTGGAAGATCTGGTCAACATAATCCTATTCCTGGTTGAGAGAACGGGCCTGATGGAAGGACTTATTTTTCTTACAAATAACTTTTTTCTGATTATAAATGGGATGTGTTTATTGTTAAAATTTTGGGAAATACAGAACACAAATGAACATATAAATCACTCTTGTATTTGTTAGGATTGAGTGTACTGCAAACGATGGAAACCTCAAGATAAGAGTGGCTCAAATAAGACTGAAGCTTATTTTGCTTGCAGCTACATGAAGTTGAAAAGTCCAGGCTGGTATGATAGTTTTGCTCCACAGAAGCCTTAGGGTGCCCAGGCTCCTTCTAGCTCACTACTCTGCCATCCCTGCAGTGTGGCCTGAATCCTCATCATCCAGGCTGCAGAGCAGAAAGGCAGCCAGAAAGAGAAAGGGATAAAGAGGCCAAAGGACACATGCCAGTTACCTTCCAGGGAAGTTTCTCTGAAGCAGCAACACAACATTTCCACACCATCCCAACAGTAAGACCGTAGTCACGTGGCCACACCTACCTGCTGGGGAGACTAAGAAATGCAGTCTTTATTTTGCGTGCCTATTTGCCAAGCCAAAACTCTATCACTCTAGAAGAACGGCTTATGAGGCAATTAGGGGTCTCTGATAAACCCGTAATCATACCATCCAGAGAGAGCCACTGTTAACATCTTGGTATGCCATGTATACACACAGATATCCACACACACACCCATATATATATACCCACATATATATGATGTGTATACGTGTGTATAGACTTATATATGTGTGTGTGGGTGTGTGTGTGTGAATATATATTTATATATAATACATGAGTATGTATAAATATATATTTTTTAAAGATCTATTTATTTATTTGACAGAGAGAGAGAGAGAGACACAGCGAGAGAGGGAACACAAGCAGCGGGAGAGGGAGAAGCAGGCCCCCCGCGGAGCAGGGAGCCCGATGCGGGGCTCGATCCCAGGACCCTGGGATCATGACCTGAGCCGAAGGCAGACGCTTAATGACTGAGCCACCCAGGCGCCCCAATGTATAAATATTTTTAAGTGAAATTGAGATCGTACCAAATATACTATTTTTGCATCTTGCTTTTTTGAAAAATTGCACTTTAAACAGTCTCCTTTATTATCTATTTTAGCACTGAGTCATTTAACAATTAGAGTAATGTAATGTAATCCATTATAATTTTCTTTTAAAGATTTTATTTGTAAGCAATCTCTACACCCAACATAGGGCTCAAACTCACAACCCCGAGATCATGAGTCGCACGCTCCACCAACTGAGCCAGCCAGGCGTTCCTATAATTTTCTTTTAAATAGATGCTTTTATTATATAAATCTTGGTTTATGAAGTTTTTGTTCAACTATTTATTTCAAAATAATTGTAGATTCACAGGAGGTTGAAAGGAATGTATACCCAAGTCCCACGTGCCCTTCCCCCTGCCTCCTCTAATGGTAACAACTTATACAACTATGGTACTGTATCAAAACCAAAATATTGACATTGATATAATCCATAGTTTTAGATTTCATCAGTTACACATGCACTCGTGTGTGTAGCTCTATGAAATGTTATCATGTGTAGCCTTGCATAACCATCCCCACAACATCCAGAGACTCAACTGCACTATCCTTTGTGTCACTCCTTCATAACTACACCCATCTCATGCCCCCCACCCATCCCTAACCCCTGGCAATTACTAATCCATTCTTTATCTCTCTTTATATGTTACTCCATGAATGATACATTATTGGAATTATGCAGAAAATATAGTTTGAGATTGGCTTTTCTCATTCAGCGTAAGTTCCTTGAGGTTTATTTAAGTTGTTGCAGATATCAACAGTTTGGTCCTTTTTATTGCTGAGACATATCCCATGCTACAGATGTGCCACAGTTTGTTTAAATATCAACCAACTGAAGGATATTTGGGAAGTTTCCAGTTTTTGGCTATTATGAATAAAGCCGCTATGAACATTCATGTGGTTTGGACACAAGTGCTCATTTCTCTAGGATGAATGACCAGGAGTGCAATTGCTGGATTGTATTATAAATCCATTTTCAGTTTTTAAAGGAACTGCCAAACTGTTTTCCAGAGTGACTGCGTGCAACCTACTTTTTAAACTTAACAATATGTTGTCAACAATTCTTATCATTATTTCCTATGTCATTAAATATTCTTCTAAAACATGGATGGCAGTACATAATTTCCAAACCAATTTCCTAATTTTGAATACTTAGGAATATTTCTGATTTTTATATTATAAATAATAAAGTGAAAAATGTGATTTTGGATAAATCTTTGTGCCTATTTCTGATTATTTCCTTAGGATAAATTTCTATATTTAGACATACTGGCTTAAAGAGTATGAATGAACATTTTAAAGTCTCTTGCTACGTTTTTTTCAAATTGTCCTACTGAAAGGTGTTTCAATTTAAAATCCCACAGCAATATATGAGAATTGGGCAAAGTTTGTAAAACTACTAATATTGCAACACACATTGCAAATGATCAGTATCTTTAATATATAAATAGACCTTACATATCAACCAGAAGAAGATTAAATACCCAATATCAGGATGCTTTGGACTGCAAGTGATAGAAAACTCAAAATTCAAAATTTTATCAATAGAGAAATGTATCACTTTATATAATAAGAAGTCTAAAAGTAGGGCAACTTCTGGATTTGTTGATTTCACACAGCTTTAATAAAAGGCACCACAGTACCCAGACTAACAGTGCAGGCACTGAAGCTACACTGTTAGATTAACATCTCAACTCTTCCACTTACTAGGTGTGTATCATTAAGCAAATTACTTGACCTATTTATGCCTCAGGTTCCTATTTTGAAAACGGTTATATCAGTAGTATCTATTTCATAGGATTGCTGTAAGAATGAGGAGCGTTTATATATGTAAAATACCCATTAAGTGTCGATATCATCAAGAGCCTAGATTCTTTCTGTTTTTCTGTTCTGCCATCCTTGGCATGTTAACTTTATCCTCAGTCTTGAGACCTCATGGTCACAAGATAGCTGCAGTAATTCCAGGCATCATATCTCAGACAATCAGAGATAGAAGAAACAAAGTAGTCTTCTCTATTACTTAAGAACAAAGAAACTTTTCCAAACAGATCTCCCTCATATCCTGCTGGCTAGAAAATGGGTTATCCAACACCAATCTGTTAAAAAAATTTTTTTTAAAGGAGAATGGAATTGCCATAATTGGCTTAGACCAGTGAGGATTTACCCATAAGCTAAAACCCACTTTCCCTGTGGGTAGAAACCAAACAAAATCAATTCTTTTAACAGGGAAGAAGAAAGAAATGGATATTGGGTGGACAACCAGAATATCTGTCATGTATCATATTAGAAAAAAATGGGCAATGCACGTGCACCAGCAATTCATAAGAGAAGAAATGCAAAGGCAAATAAACATGAAAAAAATGTTCACCTTGATTAATGAACAAAGAAATGCGAATTAAGGGCGCCTGGGTGGCTCAGTTGGTTAAGCGACTGCCTTCGGCTCAGGTCATGATCCTGGAGTCCCGGGATCGAGTCCCGCATCGGGCTCCCTGCTCAGCAGGGAGTCTGCTTCTCCCTCTGACCTTCCTCCTTCTCATGCTCTCTGTCTCTCATTCTCTCTCTCGCAAATAAATAAATAAAATCTTAAAAAAAAAAAAAAAAAGAAATGCGAATTAAAAGGAGTTTTTGTATTTTCTCTATCAATTTGGCAATGATGAAAAAGAATGATAATCATCTATAACAGCATAAATATACAAGGTGCCTAGGAATAAATCTTACACAAGATGTGTAAGACCTATAGGGAGAAAATTATAAAATTTTACCAAACAACCTTAAAGAAGACCTAAATAAATGGAGATACATACCAAGGCCATCGATAGGAAGACTCAGTATCCTAAAGATGTCAATTCTCCTCAAATTAATTTAGAGATTTAAAGTAATTCCAAGGAAAATCTGTAGGGTTTTTTTGTTTTTGTTTTGTTTTGTTTGTTTGTTTTGTTTTTAGGAATAGACAAATTATTTCTAAAATATATATGAAAGAGCAAAGGCTCCAAACTAGTTAAGACCCTCTTAAAGAAAGAAATATGGCAAGGGAATTTTTCTTACCAGATAACAAGACTTTTTATAAAATAAGACAAGAGTAAAACAGATAATGTGATATTGGGTAAGGGATAGGCAAATTTAGTGATGGAACAAAATAGTCCCCAAACAGACTCACACATTATAGACACGTGACATATTACAGTGGTAGAATTAAAAATCAATGGAGGGTGCCTCAGTCAGTTAAGCATCTGCCTTCAGCTCAGGTCATGATCCCAGGATCCTGGGTTGGAGTCCCACATGGGGCTTCCTGCTCAGCGGGGAGTCTGCTCCTCCCTCTCCCTCTGCCCCTCCCCCAGTTTGTGCTCTCTCTCACTCACTCTCTCTCTCAAATAAATAAAATCTTTAAAAAAAGAAAAAAGAAAATCAACAGAAAGAGAATGGAAAAAGAAAAGAAAATTGGATTCTCACCTTTCATCCTACACAGAAAGTAACTCAAAATTACTTGTAAATTTAAATTTTTTAATTATTTAGAAGAAAAAGATAGATTATCTTTAAGCCTTTATATTAGGGAAGGATCTTTTAAATAAAACATGAAAAGCATTAACTATACAAAGACAAGATGTCTTTGACATCTCAAAGTGAATAAAATGACAAGCCATGAACTGAGAGAAGATATTTATAGAACAAATAACTGAAAAAGATTAGTGTTCAGAATATATAAGGAATTCCTACAAGTGTATTTTAAAAAGGATTTTTACGAAAGTAGGCAAGAGGGGCACCTGGGTGGCTCGGTTGGTTAAGCGACTGCCTTCGCTCTGGTCATGATCCTGGAGTCCCGGGATCGAGTCCCGCATCGGGCTCCCTGCTCAGCGGGGGGTCTGCTTCTCCCTCTGACCCTCTTCCCTCTCGTGCTCTCTGTTTCTCATTCTCTCTCTCTCTTAAATAAATAAAATCTTAAAAAAAAAAAAAAGAAAGTAGGCAAGAGACACACACAGGTATTTCACAAATGAGAAAAACACATGGCCAATAAACATACAAAAAAATTAACAGCCTCATCAGGAAACAAATTAAGATCATGATACATCCTTTATATCTATCTGATTCCCCCAAATAAAATAACTGATAATACCAAGTGTTGGTAATGAGGTAAATCAGTTGGAACTCTTTAAGTCCTACTGGAGAGAGCATTAATTAATTTAACCACTTTGGAAGACAAGCACTATTTGTAAAGCTGACTATTCATATAGACTATGCCCTAGCTGTTCCACTTGTACGTATGCCAAAATACACATAAGAATATTTATAGTTTATATTCTCCCACCCCCCCAAAAGATTGGAAACAACCCAAATATCTGTTGAAGAAAAATGAATACATAAATTGTGTTATGGTCACATGATGAAATATTATGCAGCAGTGCTAATGAGAGAACCACAGATACATGTAAGAACATAGATGAATTTTAGGAATGTCATATCAAGTGAATAAAGCAAACTGTAGAAAATTACATTATAATGTCATTTGTAAAAAAACCCCTCAAAACCAAGCAGAACTAAGCAATATGTTGTTTAGGGATTATAAATATATAATACATTTTTTTTATAAAACAAAGCAAAATCAATCAAAATTTAGTGGTTATCCTTGGGTATTCGAGAAGACAAGGAAATGGAATAGACAAACACACCCATCAATGAGATGGTTTTGGCAGTATTTCAGGGGTTTTTTTGGTATATGTCACATATTTTTTTTTAATTGTGGTAAAATACACAGAACATAAAATTTGCCATTTTAACCCTTAAGTGTGCAGTTCCATGGCATTAATGTATGTCCATCATCCACCATCCATCTCTAGAACTCTTTTCATCTTGTAAAACTGAAACTCTGTACCCATTAAACAACTTATGCCTCCCTCCAGCCCCTGAAAACCACCATTCTACTTCCTATGTCTATGTATTTAAGAATCTTTGTTTTTAAGTTGAGAGATGGGTTCATGTATGTTCATTTTGTCATGTTTCATAACTTGTATATATATATTATATATACACACAACATGTATTATTTTGTATATATAAAATAGTACATACCTTATTTTGTAATGGCTTGATGCCTGGAAAAATAAAGAACAATATCCAAAATTGGCCAGAACATGGTGTCAGCAAGCATGTAAATTAGTACAATTTTTAGGACAATTTAAACTTAACAGAAACAAAATTGACAAATATATTACAGCTTTTGGGAGGTATGGTGTTTTCAATTTTGGTTTCCAATTATTCATTGCTAGTATATAGAAATAAGATTGATTTTTGTGTGTTGAGCTTGTATCCTTGCTATATTCACTTACTAGTTCTAGGAGGTTTTTTGTCATTGTTATTGATTCTTCAGATTTTCTGGGTGGACAATGTCTTCTGTGAATAGGGAGTTTTCTCTCTTTCTAGTCTGTTTGTAAAATTTCTTTTTCTTTTCTTACTGTACTGTCTAGGACTTTTGAGTATAGTGTTAAATAGTAGTGGTGAGAGTGGACATCCTTGTCTTGTTCCTGATCTTAGAAAGAAGGCAGTCTTGGGCGCCTGGGTGGCTCAGTTGGTTAAGCGACTGCCTTCGGCTCAGGTCATGATCCTGGAGTCCCTGGATCGAGTCCCGCATCGAGTCCCGCATCGAGTCCCGCATCGAGTCCCGCATCGAGTCCCGCATCGAGTCCCGCATCGAGTCCCGCATCGGGCTCCCTGCTCGGCAGGGAGTCTGCTTCTCCCTCTGACCCTCCTCCCTCTCATGCTCTCTGTCTCTCATTCTCTCTGTCTCAAATAAATAAATAAAATCTTTAAAAAAAAAAAAAAAGAAAAGAAAGAAGGCAGTCTTTCACCATAAAGTATTATGTTAAGTGCAGGCTCTTGGAGATGCTTTTTACTAAGTTAAAGAAGTTCCCTTCTATTCCTAGTTCTCTGAGTTTTGTTTTGTTTTGTTTTTTTAATTCAGTGGCTGTTGAATTTTGTCCAATCCTTCTTGCATCGATATGATCAAGTGGTTTCACTTTTTATATTGTTAATATGGCTTGTTAAATTGATTAATTTTTAAATATTAAAAGAGCTTTGCATTCTGGGTTTGAATTCTATTTGGTAATGATGTCTTAATCTTTTTTATATATTGCTGGATTTGATTTGCTAATTTGTTACAGGTTTTGCATCTGTATTCGTGAGGGATACTGGTCTGTAGCTTTCTTTTCTTGTACTAGCTTTGTCTGATTTTGGTACTGATGTATCTTTTTGGAGGGCAATTTGTCAATAGTAACAAATGTCTTTAAAATGTGTGTGTCCAAAGATTCTAAGAACTTAAAGAAATAGGGATTCTCATTACACACAGACTGCATTCAGATAGAGATTTAAATACGAATGCATCCCCTTACCAACTGCTTAAATTTTGTGGCTGTTTTCTAACCTGTAAAATGAGGATAAGAGGACCTACCTCATAAATTGCAATAGATGAGATCATTCACACACAGTGCTCAACACCTAGTGAACTTTAAGTCAATAGTAGCTCTTGGTATTGTTATGCTTCCCAGCCTCTGTAGTCTGTCCAAATAGAAGGACATCATCTTCGCTCCCACGTAAGCTCCCCCTTTGAATCTCCTTACTGGGGAGTATTCGGTCTCCTCATCCGATTCCTGTCTTACATTAGGTGTGTGAGGCGTTGGGAATGCAAAGGCAAAAAAGGTTTGGTCCCCGCCCTCAGGGAGCTGAATCTATCAGAAACACAAAGGCGCAAACGAACCAGTTCCATGCAGTAAAAGAGCATTATGACGCGTCTGCCCAAAGTGCAGCGGGTCCTGGACCCGCAATCTGAGCGTCTCGGTCAGGAGAGCGGGTGTTCGCTTGGGGACCAGGACCAGGGCGGCAACTTGTGCAGCGCAGCCCCGGGTCTTGGGGGGTAGGGGGATGCCGAGACTGGTTGTTTCCACAGCAACGAGACAAGCCACCCTCATGGGGCCTCACTCCTCACCTCTATTCAGCGTCTGAAGAACCACTAAAGGCCACTTCCGGTCCTCCCGCCTCCGAGACTCGTGGTCGCTCTGCTGTAACTCAGTAACTCGAGCTCCTAGCCTCTGATTGGCTCAGGCAGATGGAGGAGGCGGGATGTGGCACCGAGGGGGCGTGGCCTGTGGACCCTCAAACTGGAGTTTTCCTCTCGGAGCGGAAGTCGACTTCACCCGCCCCGGAAGTGCAAGGACTGAGGTCGTACAGGTGGGGATTCCGCCGGCGAGGCGGCTTTTTTCGAGATGCCAGGAGCCGCGGCTAAGGGCTCGGAGTTGTACGAGAGCATCGAGAGTTTCGTGGAGGCCCTGAAGCGGGACGGCGGGCGGCGCAGCTCCGAGGACATGGCTCGGGAGACCCTGGGGCTGCTGCGCCGGATCATCACGGACCACCGCTGGAGCAACGCAGGTAAGGCAGGTCTGGTTCTGTCGCGTCCCTAGCCACTGTCCGACCCCGATCCTCAGGCGGAGAGTCGCCCAGCCTCATCGCGCTCGTGCCCTCTCTCTCTCCCTCGACTGCAGAGAAACTGATGGAACTGATCCGCCGAGAGGGCCAGAGGATGACGGCTGCGCAGCCCTCAGAGACCACAGTGGGCAACATGGTGCGGAGAGTGCTCAGGATCATCCGGGAGGAGTATGGCAGGTCAGGATGTGGGCCTTTTTGCACAAGCCCCTCTCCCTGCTTGAAGCCTTTAGTGGAGCTGAGCAGCTCCTCTTACTTAAATTACTACACCTCCGCCCCCTCCCTGTTTGCGTCTTGTTGCCTCCCTAGACTCCACGGGCGCAGCGATGAGAGCGATCAGCAGGAGTCCTTGCACAAACTCTTGACATCCGAAGGCCTGAGCGAGGATTTCAGCTTCCCTTATGCCCAACTCCAGTCCAACATCATTGAGGCAATTAATGAGCTTCTTGTGGAACTGGGTAAGAGTCCTGATCCCTGATGGACAGGCAGATGAGGGAAAAGAAGACCCTGGAAGTTGTTCATCAGTAGAGATAGGAGATAACCAGTCTCGTGGTTCTCTGAGCTTTGTGCTCCATCCTGATTAAGAGAAAGGGTTGGAACGGGTGGCAGGACTGAGATAGCCCTCTCTACATGTCCTTACAGACCAGCCCTTGATAGATTGCAGATCCACTGCTGCAGAGACTGTTAGGACAGCTTTATTTTCATGTTAAAGATGAACTCCCCAAAACCACAGATGGTAGACTCTTCTCCCCTAAATTTCCTCTTGAATTTTATACACACAGATGCACCACCTCCTTTCCCCTTGTCTTTGTGACCCAGGAGACCTGCATGTATTCATTACAATCAGAGTTCCCCAAGGGAGGAAGAAGCTGGGTCTGTGTGTCTGTAGCTGCTGCTTCCAAATTCCTCCCGTTTTTCTTCTGTGGCCTCCTTTTCAGGTGGGGGTGTTGCGGCCACCTTTTAGAGTTCTTTTAGGGGGAAACTCTGTTTACTCCACTCTCAGCACCTTACAGTTTCTCAAATTGGACCATTTTTTTGCCTGAATTCATTGTCTTCAAAATGAATTCTAAGGAGCTGGTATCGTGTGGGGCAGAGTTGGGGGTAAGTGGATGAGTAGGGGTTCTGCTGGGAAAGAAGGTAGGCTGAGAACTTGGGAAGTAGAAGATCCCAGAGGAGCGTGGCTTTTAAGAAAAGGTGACCTTCACTTTAAGTCCCTTCACCCTGTGTTACCACTAGGTCTGCTAGGTGGGCTGTCTGTGTGAAGGGCACCTGTCTCTTTCCATGTTCTGTCACGATTGTCTCGTGTTGCGGCATATGGCAGTTTCACATTTTCCTTGCCAAACCGGCTGTTCTTGCAGAAGGGACTACAGAGAACATTGCGGCCCAGGCTCTGGAGCACATCCACTCCAATGAGGTGATCATGACCATTGGCTTCTCCCGGACAGTAGAAGCCTTCCTCAAAGAGGCTGCCCAAAAGAGGAAATTCCATGTCATTGTGGCAGAGTGTGCTCCTTTCTGTCAGGTAGGGGGACTGCTGGAGCTGCTAAGAAAAATGAAAAATGAGGAGGGAATAAAGAAGAGATAGATGGGCTCCATGCCAACTTTGACTTGATAAGTAAGACATTGAGAACACAAAACCGTGAAGGGAATTTTCGAGTTGTTCATCCTGTCAACATTCTTTTTTTTTTTTTTTTAAGATTTTATTTATTTATTTATTTGACACAGAGAGAGAGAGAGCACATACAAGCAGAGGGAGGGGCAGAGGGAGAAGCAGACTCCCTGCTGAGCAGAGAGCCCGACATAGGGCTCGATCCCGGGACCCTGGGATCATGACCTGAGCCAAAGGCAGACACTTAACGACTGAGCCCTCATCCTGTCAACATTCTTAAACATTGGTTTAGGAAAGTTAGAGGAAATGCTGAGTCCAAGAAAAGAAATCTATTGGTTCTTTTAGGAATCAAAATAGGGTAAATTACTCAATCCCTACGTAAATAATAGGTCTCTAGAAATAGGTCTCTAGAAAGGAAATATGTAAGGATGCAGGAGGTCATAAAAGAATGAGCCAGGAGCTGTGCTGTCAGCGCTCCCTAATTACACAAGCAAGCAGTATTTCCAGTTTTCTGGCTGCGCTAGTGCTCCTGTGGAAAATTCAGCATTTATTGGCTTCTCCTGGGCTTCTCTGCAGTGTACCAGAGAATACCTACCATGAGTAGAAAAAGGAATTACCTGTTGGCAGGTGTGTGTCGGCTGTGCCCAGTATCACAGAATTCTCCAGATCCAGTTCCACTGGAGATGCCTTCCACCCTGTCTCACCCTCTCTCCTAACATCAGGCCTTTTTCTCCTATTGTAGGGTCATGAAATGGCAGTCAATTTATCCAAAGCAGGTATTGAGACAACTGTCATGACTGATGCTGCCATTTTTGCTGTTATGTCAAGAGTCAACAAGGTGGGTGTATTTGGAGTTATACTGAATTCATGAAGATTATACTTCTAAAATACTCATTTTTTTTTTCTCCCTCCTATAATATACATGAGAAGAGAAGAAAAGTTCTAGCGCCTTTTAAAACTACATGCTGGGCCTTTTTAATATATTAACCTGATTTCTTTTCCCTTTATATCATTGTTCCTCACTTAGAGTAGCTTCTTTTTGTTTTTGTTTTAAAGATTTTATTTTTAAGCAGTCTCTACACCCAACATGGGGCTCGGACTCACAACTCTTGAGATCAAGAGTCCATGCTGTACTGACTGGGCCAGCCAGGCGCCCCAGGGTAGCTGCTTTTTGGTGAAAGCATTGAAGAGAATGAAATAAGGCTAAGTGTGGCAGCTGCTAGGGCTTGGGTAGAGGGTCCCTGCCTTCTGCTCAGAGAGCTTGACAGTGATGGATGGTGAATAGAAAGGCTCTTAGCTTTCTCAGGAGGTGTGGCAAATAGCTTCCAGAAAAGGCAGGGCTAAGAGCAGGAGATAGTGAAGCTTCCTGTCACATACAATATTCATTCTTTCTTTGGGAAGCCACTCTTGAGCTAGAACTCTTGGTCTTCACCATAGAATCCCTTTTCCCTGACTAGCGTGTGACGCTCACAATGTCGAGACTGAGGCCTGAGCATTTAGCCTGTGGTGCCCAATGGCCCATTTAAGGCTCCATCCCTAGGATGACTCACATTTTGCTTCCTGTTCCAAAGGTGATCATTGGCACAAAGACCATCCTGGCCAACGGTGCCCTGCGAGCTGTGACAGGAACTCACACTCTAGCACTGGCAGCAAAACACCACTCCACGCCGCTCATCGTGTGTGCTCCCATGTTCAAGCTTTCCCCACAGGTATGTCTGTCTGTAGCCAGCAGAGAGAAGGAAGCCGAGGAGTAGGCTTGAACTCTGGGGCTTCTCTTTATCTGCGTTTACTAAATGGATTAGACCCCATAGAGGCCAGAAAAAGCCACAGAAGTCTTGAACCAGGAAAAAAAAAAAATTGATAGTTATAACTTGTCAGTTTTGAGAAATCAAAATTGTAAGGTCAGGATAGTACATAGCTGGGGAAGGCCCTTTGTTGACATTGCCACCATTGCCCATCACGCTGATCATTTCTGAAAATGCCGAACAAGTTGAAACCCAGAACACAGAATCGGTTTTATTTATTTATTTTTTTTAATTTTTTAAAAATTTTTTAAGATTTTATTTATTTATTTGAGAGAGAGAATGAGAGACAGAGAACATGAGAGGGAGGAGGGTCAGAGGGAGAAGCAGACTCCCTGCCGAGCAGGGAGCCCGATGCGGGACTCGATCCCGGGACTCCAGGATCATGACCTGAGCTGAAGGCAGTCGCTTAACCAACTGAGCCACCCAGGCGCCCCGGTTTTATTTTTCATCGTTGGAGGGACTGTCCCCTATAGCCTAATACAAGCAGTATTACAAAGTGAAGAGCCACTTCGTTAGCAATAGAAGCTGTTTGCTTTGAAATACCAACCTATTTGCAGTTCCCTTTTTTAAATTGAGGTGAAAGTCACATAACATACAATTAACCATTTTAAATGTACAGTTCAGGGGCACTTATTACATTCACAGCATTGTGCAACTACCACTCTCTGGTTTCAAACCTTCATCATCCTAGAAAAAACCCCGTACCCATTATGTAATCACTCCCTATTGCCCCCTCTGCCCACCTCCTAGGAATCGCTAATCTGCTTTCTGTCTCTGTGGCTTTGCCTGTTTGGGATATTTCATATAAAAGGAATCATAATATGTGCCTTTTGTTTCTGACTTCTTTCACTTAGCATGTTGTCAAGGTTCCTAGCTGTAGCACAGCACTTGGTTTCTTTCTGTGGCTGAATAATACGCTGTTGCAGGGACCTACCACAATTTATTTATCCATTCACCTGTTGGTGGGCAGTTGGACTGTTCAGCCCTTTGGCTTTTGTGAATGCTGCTGCTGTAAGCACTGGTGTACCAGTTTCTGCGTGGACATACCTTTTTTATTTCCCTTGGGTGTATACTTAAAACTGGAATTTGCTGGGTCTCTTTCACTCTTTTTTTTTTTTTAATTTTTTTCTTGTCTAGTTCCCC